CTCCAGGTCCTCCCTACGGCTCCGGCTCTGCTTGCCCCATGCAAGCCTACCGCGAAACACCTCTGGGCAAGTGGGGCTCAGCCATTCCCATCCTCATGTGGATTTTCAGCCCCTGGGGCAGCCCCCTTTGCAAGCCCCACTCTTCCCATCGCTTCCAGCATCCCTCCCCATTTACAGCCAGGTTTGACATTGCCTCCCCCCCCAAAATCTGCCACCACAGAAGCCCATCCCCCTGGTCACCAACGGAGGGGCCCCACAGCCGGGGTGTGTCCCCAGGGCCACCCTTCAGTCGGGGGAGCCGGCCAGGGCGAAGCCTGAACCTTGTCATAGTTGAGACTTATCAGGTTTGGACAAGCGCCGGGGGCTGCCGCGGGATTCAGGATGTTCTGTAACGAACGTCCTCTGCCCCAAATAGACGCCGTCCCAGGGGCACAGGCTCAAGCAGTCCCTCCCCAGGAGCCCTCCCCGCCAGTGTGGGGGAAACCGGCCCAAGAGTGACCCCCGGCCGGGATCGCTCTCCGAACCATCCGTGTGTCCTGATCCGTGGCACTGGGCACCCCAAAGAGATGCCGAGACCCAGCCCAACATCCCCGGTCTTTAATCCGTCCCTCTCCAGGTCCTCTCCCAAGGTCTTCCTCTTTATGAAAGACAAAGAAATGTAAAACATCTGTTTTAATAAATGATTCCTCAATTTCTAGAGTCCGGCAAGTCAGATGCTCGCTTAAAACCGTACGTAACACTTTCCACGGATGTATTTATAACTAAAGGCATAACTCTGCCGTCTCACGCTCTGCCATTAACCCTCTGCAGCCTTGTTACAAACGGAGCTCGGAGCACCAAGATACGTGTCAGAAAATACTGCACCTACTCATCTCTAGTAAAACATCCCAACAGTCACCAGCTGGAAGAGAAATCCCTTCTTTTGATTTTTAAAATAAAAGTAAATTAAATTAAATTTTAAAAAAACCCAAAACCACAACAAAAACACCAACACCATGACACTGGCAGGTAGGATCCCCACCGCTTCCCCAACATCCCCAGCACCACCGTTTCACGCGCGGAGACACCTCAGCCCTCCCACCCGGCGAGCGCTGCTGTGCCGACAGAGAGGCCCCCGGAGCCCGGCTCCGCTGGCGTGACCGCC